CACCCCCTGGGGCACCAGCACTCGGAGCTAGGGGGCCTGGGGTGGCATCGAGCACCCCATGTGGTACCCACAGCCCAAGATGGGGGTCCGGGGGTGGCACCGGGTGGGTCGTGGAGTGCCTGCACCCCGGGATGGGGGTCCTGGGATGGATCCGACACCCCGTGAGTCGCGGGGCACCCGCACCCCGGAGAAGGGCTCTTGGGGTGGCATCAAGCTCCCCGTGGCTCATGGGGCAACTCCAGGTCGGGCTGGGCTGGCACCAGGCACCCGTGGGTGGCAGGGCACCCACACCCGCGGATGGGGGTCCCGGGCTGGCATCGAGCGCTCCGTGGGTCGTGGGGAACCCCCACGCCGGGCTCCGCGCCCCGGAGGCGCTCGGTGCCGCCGTGGGTCACGGGGGAGGGGGTCACCCCGCACCGGCCTCACCCCGCGCCCCCCGGGGCACCCGCACCCCGCGCTGCCGCGGGCGGCCCGGCAAAAGAGCTCGGAGCGCTCCGAGCCGGGACCGCGCTCCGCGGGGCGGCTCCCCCCGCCCTGCCGGGGGTCAACGGACGCGCGTGGGCCCCCGCCGCCCCCACGCCTACCTTGGGGCAGGTCCCGAGCCGTGGGGGGCCGCATGGCGGGGCCGCCGCTCAGGCGCTGCCCGCTGCCCCGGGGCTCATGGCCGCTGCCGGGGGGGCCGCTCGCCCCGGCCGCCGCCCCGGGGCATGGCACGGGTGGGCTGCGGGCACGGGTGGGCTCGGCTCTGCGCTCGGCTCTGCCCGCGGCTCCGGTGGGGCTGAGCCCTGCCCCGCGCCGCGCCTTATCCCGGGGCGGCCGCGCTCCGCCCCCCGCCGCCGGCCCCGCCGATTAACCCTTGCGGGGCCGGCCTGCCACGCGTGGGGGGGGGCACACAGGGGACAGGGGAGGCGAGGCGGGGCTCGGAGGGGGAGGCCGCCGGTCGGGACCCACTGCGGGGGGGGGGGGGGGGGGCGTGACCCGCGGTGAGGACGCCGCTGTCTGTGGCTGCGCCCCCGCCCGTGTCGTGGGGCTGCCGTGGGGTGCGGGGGGGGGCTGCGGTCGTGGGGCTCGCGGGCCGTGCCCCTGCACCCCCGTGAGCTCGGGACCCCCCGCATGGGGCTGCCCTCGGTGGGTGCCGCGGCGGGGGGCGCGCACGGCGCTAGGGGGGTCCCGGCCCGCACCCACGCAGGACCCGGCGCTGTCCTTGGTGCTGCCGCCGGCGCTGTCCTTGGTGCCGATCGCGCCGCTCCCACCCGGGACAGCGGCACCCCCCGCGCGGGGCCGTGCGCTTTGTGCCCCGCACTGAGGCCCACGTGGGGTGCGAGGGGGGGCACACGCGTGTCCGCGCCAGGCTGCGGCGCACGAGCTGGCACCGGCGCGTGTTTGCGGCGCCGGCTCCGGCGTGTGAAATGCCACAATCTGCCGCGGCCGCCACGCGTGGGCCGCGCGCGGGAGGCGCGGGGCTGACTCAGGGGCTGCCATCCGGTACCGCCCCACAGCCCGGGGGGGCTCGGTCCGACTCCATGGGGACATGGGGATGGGGTGAGCGGGGGTGGGCAGTGGAGGGAGGGAGGGATGGATGGATGGATGGATGAGCACAGGATAGCTGAGAGCAGAACAGAGGGACAAGACAGGTGGAGGACAACAGGATAGGACAGAGGGACAGGCAGATAGGTGGAAGGCAACTGGAGAAAGGGCCAGAGAGGTGAAGGACAGCTTGAGAGGATGGATGGATGGGGGGATGCACAGATGGAGGACAACAGGAAAGTACAGAGGGTTGGATGAGTGGAGGGAGGGCAGGTGAAGGCAGGAGGGCCAGCAGGGCATGGGCAGGGCAAGCAGAGGGTGGTGGAAGAGACAGACACTGAATGGGAGCGAGGGTGAATGGAGCTGAGGTTGGGGACAGATGTGTCCGGGAGGGGGACAGATGGACGGGTGTCAGGCAGATGGATGAGTGACAGACGGTTATATGGGTGACAGACAGATGGACAGGTGATGGACATATGGACGGGTGACACACAGATGGATGGGTGACGGACAGACTGGTGGGTGATGGACAGACAGATGGGCTGGAGGGTGGGGATAGGATGGGCGGTTGCAAGCACTGGTGGATGGACGGGCGGAAGGATGAGGTGGTGGGAAGACAGACAGACAGTCAGACAGACAGACGGATGGATGGAAGAGCGGACTTGACGTGGGCAGCCAAGAAGAAGGTGGTGGGAGGGACAGGGGAGTGCTCAAGGTGAGGTGGAGGCAGGTGTGCATGGGGACAGCCCCAGCAGTGGCACAAGGTGTCGCAGGCGTGGCCTAAGGTGGCCCAAGGTGACCTAATGATGGCACAGGGCTGTTCCATGGTGGTCTAAGGTGGCCCACGGGTGACCTGAAGTGACCCAAGGTGACTCAGATGTGGCCCAGGTGACCAAAGGTGACCCAAGGGTGACCCAAGGTGGCCCAACATGAACCAGGGGGAGGCTTAACGTGGCCTAAGGGTGGCCCTGGGCTGGTCCATACTGGCCCAAGGGTGGTCGAGGGTGACCCAAGAGTGAACTAAGTTGGCTCAAGGTCTCCCAGGGTGACCTAAGGGTGACTGAAGGTGACCCAGGGGTGACCCAGGGGTGACCCCGATGGAGGGCACCTCAGGGACATCAGCAAGAAGGGGGCGTCCGGGGGGGTGCGGCGCTGACGCGGCGGGGAGGGGGCACGCGGGGAGGGGCCTCACCCGGGACATGACCGGGCCCCACGCGGTGCCCCGGGGCCGTTCCACCGGGGCCGCCTCCCGCGTCCGTCCCCCCCCACTCCTGCAACGCCGCACCGGGGGCGGGGCCGGGCAGGGCCGCTCCGCCCGCCGCCGAGGGGCGGGCAGCACCGGCGGCACCGGCGGCACCGGGAGCACGCGCGGGGCAGCGCCAGTTCCTCCCCGCCGCGCCGGGCCGCGCGCCGAGGGTGAGTAACGGACGGAGCGGGGGGGGGGTGGCGGGAGGAGCCGAGCGGAGCGCGGGAACCGCGTGGGCCCGGCCAGGGCCGGTTCCGGGGGCCCGGGGGGAGCGGCTGCGGGGCTGCGGAGGGGGGGGGCTGTGGGGCCGGGGCCGCGGGGCTGGGTCGGGGCCGTGGGGCACGGCTATGCCCGGGGGGCCCCTCCGGACCCCGCCACCACGTGCTCTCCCTCCCAGTTCCGTAAGGCCTCTCAGGGCTCTGGTTGCTGGCCCCCAGGGCTGCTTCCCCTTTCCGTGCACGGGCGAAGGCAGGGGCCCGCCCGTCCGCCTGTCCCCTCGCCCCACTCCGCTGCCCCCAGCCCTGCCCAGTGGGGCACGGCCCACTCCAGGGCACCACCCCCCCCCCACGGGAGGGCAGCGGCGTGGGCAGGGTCCGCAGGGTACCTGAAGCCCAGCCCCAGAGCAGCCTCTGGAGAAGCCACGCTCCCGCAGGCGGGGACCCGCCGGTCCCTGCAGGACGGAACCGGCCTCGGCCACAATTAATGATTAAAACGAAGGAGGTCGGAGCCAGCCCCGGGACACGGCGCGGGAGGGGCGCCCTTTTGTCCCCACCTGACCCCAGTCACTGTTCGGGGTGCCCTGGGGGACACGGCAGGGCCAGCACAGCTGGGAGGGGCTGGGGGCACCAGTGCCAGGGCTCCGGATCCTCTGGTCCCTTGTGGGGGTGTTACCAGTATGGGGGGGGGGGGGGGGGTGTCAGTACTATGTCCAGGAGAGACCAGTAGGGCTTGGGAATACCAGTATGGTCAGGAGACATCAGTACGGCTCAGGGACACTGGTATGGTTTGAGATAACCAGCATGGTTTGGGGTAACGGGTATGTCGGGGCTGCCATCATGGCTTTGGTGGCCAATGACACTCGCAGTGGGTGCAGAGGGGTCCCCGGCAATGCCCCACTGCCGCCCCGCTGTCCCCGCTGAGCTCTTGCCCCCCCCCGGGCCCGGCACCATCTGCCCGGGGCTGGTTAATCTTTAGCCGCCGCCGGCGCTGTAATGAGGCCTCATTAGCGGCCATTACACCAGACCGGCCACCGACGGGACCCCGGGACACCGGCACCGCTCTCGGTGGGGGGCTCTGGGTGGGTGAGTGGGGCTGGGGCCGGGCCGGGGACGTGGCCTTGCCACCGGCCACAGCGGTGACACCAAGGGACGGCAGGTCCCAGCCACGTGAGGGGGTTGGCTGGTTTTGACCGGGTGTCTCCATGAGGGCGAAGGGTCCCCGGGCAGCATTGGGGTGCCTGGCGGGTGACCTGGTGTCCTCAGGGGACGTGCCACCGTCCCCAGCACTGTGCCAGGGTCCCTGGGGGCATGACTGGGTCCCCGGCGGTGGCACAGGGTCCCGGAGATGCCAAGCAGGGGTCTCCAAGGGACATGCTGGGGTCCCCACGGGCCGTGCTGGGGTCCTCAAGGCCTGTGCCGGGTCCCCAAGCGCTGTACCAGGGTCCCCAAGGGCTGTGCTGTGTCCCCAAGGGCTGTGCTGTGTCCCCAGGGGCTGTGCTGTGTCCCCAAGGGCTGTGCCGGGGTCCCCAAGGGCTGTGCTGTGTCCCTAGGGGCTGTGCTGTGTCCCCAGGGGCTGTGCCGGGGTCCCTAAGGGCTGTGCTGTGTCCCCAGGGCTGTGCTGTGTCCCCAGGGACTGTGCTGTGTCCCCAGGGGCTGTGCTGTGTCCCCAGGGGCTATGCTGTGTCCCCAGGGGCTGTGCTGTGTCCCCAAGGGCTGTGCCGGGGTCCCCAAGGGCTGTGCTGTGTCCCCAGGGCTGTGCTGTGTCCCCAGGGGCTGTGCCGGGGTCCCCAAGGGCTGTGCTGTGTCCCCAGGGGCTGTGCTGTGTCCCCAGGGGCTGTGCTGTGTCCCCAGGGGCTGTGCCGGGGTCCCCAAGGGCTGTGCTGTGTCCCCAAGGGCTGTGCCGGGGTCCCCAAGGGCTGTGCTGTGTCCCCAAGGGCTGTGCCGGGGTCCCCAAGGGCTGTGCTGTGTCCCCAGGGGCTGTGCTGTGTCCCCAGGGGCTGTGCCGGGGCCCCAAGGGGTGGTTCCCTGTCCCGGGGGCAGTGCCAGCGCCGGGCACAGTGCCCGTGTGCTCAGGGCTGTGCCAGGGCCCCCGCTGGGACACGCCGGGTTCCCAGGGGCTGTGCCAGCTCCGGGGGGTGCCGGTGTCCCGGGGGGTGCGGTGCTGGCGGTGCTCACACCAGGGTGTGCGGCGGCACCGCACCACGGTCCCGCGGCCGTGCCAGGGGAGGTGGCTGGTCCCTGGGACGGGCTGGTGCCGGCAGATAGGGCGGCCGCGGGGGGGTCCCCGTGCGGCGGGGGGGACCGAGCCGCTATCGGGGCCCGGCAGCCCCGGGGGGGGCCATGGGTGCTCCCAGCAGATTAGTGGGGTCTGTGCCGGTGCGGGCGTGCGGTGTGGGTCTGAGCTCGGCGGCGGCGACTGTGACAGCGGGAAGGCCTGGCCTTGTGCAGGTGGGTGGGGGGTACAGGGGGGGCCAGCACATGGGCATGCATGTGCATGTGTGTGAGCCCATGTATATGTGTGAGCCCATGTACACACCTGTGCAAAGTCCCGGTGCCAAGCAGGGTCCTTGCCCGTGTTGTGGCATGCTGGGGACCAGTGCCAGCCGCCGGTGGCCATGGACATGGGGCATTGCTGGGACCACGGTGGCCTTTGCCCACTGGCCACGTGCCCAGGTGCTGAGGGTGTCATGGTGTGGGTGTCCCGGTGTGTGTGCTGGTGACCAGTGCGGGTGCCAGGTGTCACGGTGTGGGTGCTGTCACAGTGTGGTGCCAGCTGTCATGGTGCCAGTGCCAGTGTCCCGGTGTGGGTACCGGTGACCTGGTGTGGGTGCCGGTGACCCAGTGTGGGTGCCGGTGACCCGGTGTGGGTGCCGGTGTCCCGGTGTGGGTGCCGGTGACCCGGTGTGGGTGCCGGTGACCCGGTGTGGGTGCTGGTGACCCGGTGTGGGTACCGGTGACCCGGTGTGGGTACCGGTAACCTGGTGTGGGTGCCGGTGACCCGGTGTGTGTGCCGGTGTCCCGGTGTGTGTGCCGGTGTCCCGGTGTGGGTGCCAGTGACCTGGTGTGGGTGCCAGTGACCCGGTGTGGGTGCTGGTGACCTTTACGTGTGCTGGGTGCCACGGTGTGGGTGCTGGGTGTTACAGCGCAGGTACCAGTGACCGGTGTGTGTGTGCCCGCAGGCGCGGCAGGTCCGCGGTGCCGGCGCCATGGCGGGGGGCAGCGCGGGGCTGCCCAAGCGCCTGGGGACGCTGCTCTCGGGGCTGCTGGAGTGCGGTGCCTTCTGCGGCCTCATCTTCGGCTGGGCCTCCCTCGTCTTCGTCCTCAAGGACCTGCAGTACTTCAAGGAGTGGTGCCAGCCCGCTGGCCCCAATGGCACTGAGCAGCTCGGTATGGCCCCAGCGGTGCCCTGCTGGGGTGCTTGTGTCCTGGGGTGCTCGTGTCCCGGGTGCCACGTGTCCCTGATGCACTGTGGTGCCCCAGGTTCTCGCTGTCCTAATCCCTGGGTCCCCACTCTCCCATGTCCTGCGGTGCTGTGTCCCCATATCCCTGCTGTCCTCCTGTGTGTGCTGGGTGTCACGCACGTGTTTCCCCATGGTCCCCATGCCTGTGTCCCCACTGTCCCCAATCTCATGTCCCATTCACTGTCCTGATGCCCCATGGGTGCCCCATGTCCCTGCTATCCCTATGCCCTGCAGTAGTCTGTGTCCTGACTATCCCAGTGCCCGTGTCCCCACTGTCCTGATGTCCTGCGGTGCCCCATGCCCACAGTGTGCCCATTGCCTGGGCTGTCCCATGTCCCCATGGCTGTGTCCCCACTGTCCGTATGCCCTGGGGTGCCCTGTCCCCCCGTGTCCCCGTGTCCCTGTCCCTGCTGACGGCCGCCCCGCAGACTGCAGCCGCCAGGATGAGCAGTTCTCCCTGGTCTTCACCATCGGCTCCTTCATGAACAACTTCATGACCTTCCCCATGGGCTTCATCTTTGACCGCTTCGGCACCACCGTTGCTCGCCTCATTGCCATGTGAGTGGGGGGCAGTGCCGGGTCACCCCTGGGTGCTGGGGGGGTGTGTGAACGGGTGTTGTGAGGGTGCTGGGGCTGTTATCAAGTGTGGGTGTTATCGGAGAGGGCAGGCGGGGTGGGGGAGTCAGGGCCCTGCCTGTGCGGGGGGACCCATGGTGGGGGGAGCCCCCATGTGAGCCCAGGGGGACCCACACTGTCCAATGGTGCTGGTGTTGGGGTACAGCCCATTCTGGCACCTGCCCCCCAATGCCACCAATTGTCCCCTGTGTGTCCCCCACACCCCCATTGCCCCCAGCCCTTTGAATGCCCTCAGGTCTCCCTGATGTCCCCAGGGCTCCCCCGGTGTCCCCAGGAGCACTCATGGGATATTGGGGTGCTGGGTGGGATGGGGTGTGGGGGTGCCACCCTCCCCAGGACCCTGCCCCAGTTGTCACCACTGTCCTCACCCTGCAGCTCCCTCTACACCTGCGGGACCCTGCTCATTGCCTTCTCCACCCCAGGTGAGACCCCGTGGGCTTTGGGGGGGACCTGTTGGGGACCCCCCTTGTGCCCGCTGACCCCTGTGTCTCCAGGGCTGTCGGTGCTGCTCTTCCCGGCCATGTCCATGCTGTCGGTGGGCGGCATCCTCCTCATCCTCACCAACATGCAGGTGAGTTCCCAGCACCCTGACCCCCAGTCAGTGGCCGGGACACCCAGTGCTGGGGGATCCTGATGGCACAGGGGGGGTCTCTCCATGCCAGGTGGGCAATCTCTTTGGGAAGTACCGCTCCATCATCATCACCCTCTACAATGGGGCCTTCGACTCCTCATCTGCCATCTTCCTCATCATCAAGGTGGGCACAGCGGGGTGCTGGGTGTCCCCAGGGGCCCAGCCCCCACAGGCACCGTGAGGAGGGCTGAGGACAGAGATGGTGACAGTTGGGCCACCACTGGGGACATGGCCGGGGCCACCATTGAGCCACTGCTGGGGCCATCATGAGGACACAGCGGGGCTATACAGGACTGTGGCCCCAGGGTGGGACAATGGCGGGTGGCCGACCAGCCTGTCCTGTCCCCGCCCCCGTCCGTAGGTGCTGTATGGGCACGGGCTGTCCCTGCGGACCATGTTCCTCTTCATGGCGGCCTGCAGCGCCTGGCACCTGCTGCGCACCCTCTTCCTCATGCCCCGCACCCGAATCCCCTACCCGCTGCCCCCCGCCTATAACTACGGGTAGGGAAGACCCTGCCTCTGCCCCATGGGGCAGCAGCACCCATCCCGTGGTGGGGGGTGGTGGTGGTGACGGGTCTATGGGTGACGATGATGGGTCCCATCCTGTGGTGGGTGGTGGGTCCCGTCTTATGGGTGGTGGGTCCTGTCGTGATGGGTGGTGGTAGGCCCCATACTGGGTGGTTGGTGTTCCCACCCCACGGGGGTGGGTCCAATCCTGTGGTGGGTGGTGATGGGTCCCATTGGTATCCAATGGTGGTTCCCATCCCAGGAGTGGTGGGTCCTGTCTTGTGATGGGTGGTGGTGGTCCCCATACTGGGTGGTTGGTGTTCCCCCCCCATGGGTTGTGGGTCCCATCCTGTGGTGGGTGGTGATGGGTCCCATTGCTCATTGGTATCCGGTGGTGATTCCCATCCCATGGGTGGTGGGTCCTGTCTCATGATGGGTGGTGGTGGGTCTCATCCTGAGATGGGTGGTGAGGGGTCCCATTGGTATTCAGTGGTGGTTCCCATCCCATGGGTTTGGGTCCCATCCTGTGGTGGGTGGTGATGACTCCCACTGGTACCCAATGGTGGCCCTGTCCTGTGCGGGTTGGTCCTTCCCATGCTGTGCTGGTGCCTTGGCTGCGGTGCTGGTGCCATGGCAGCGGTGCTGGTGCCATGGCTGCGGTGCTGGTGCCATGGCAGCCGTGCTGGTGCCATGGCTGCCGTGCTCGTGCCTTGGCTGCGGTGCTGGTGCCATGGCTGCGGTGCTGGTGCCTTGGCTGCGGTGCTGGTGCCTTGGCTGCGGTCCTGGTGCCTTGGCTGCGGTGCTGGTGCCATGGCTGCGGTGCTGGTGCCATGGCAGTGGTGCTGGTGCCATGGCAGCGGTGCTGGTGCCATGGCAGTGGTGCTGGTGCCATGGCTGCGGTCCTGGTGCCTTGGCTGCGGTGCTGGTGCCATGGCTGCCGTGCTGGTCCCAGGCTGCGGTGCTGGTGCCATGGCTGCGGTCCTGGTGCCATGGCTGCGGTGCTGGTGCCATGGCTGCGGTGCTGGTGCCTTGGCTGCGGTGCTGGTGCCATGGCTGCGGTGCTGGTGCCATGGCTGCGGTGCTGGTGCCTTGGCTGCGGTGCTGGTGCCTTGGCTGCGGTGCTGGTGCCATGGCTGCGGTCCTGGTGCCTTGGCTGCGGTCCTGGTGCCATGGCTGCCGTGCTGGTCCCAGGCTGCGCTGCCCAGGCCGGTCTCGTTCCTACCGCACCTACGAGGAGAAGCGGCCGCCGGGGGAGGCGGGCCCCGAGGAGACGCCGCTGGAGCCGGTACAGCCCCGAGGTGAGGGGCGGG